CGCTGAAGGAAGGGATTTAGAACCGGCCCTCAAAGTTCCAGCTGTTGCAGGTCCCTTGTTGCCACACGAACAGAATTTGAGCACTTGGCAACCGGCTTGCACTTACAATTGGTTGCAGCATCCTGAGATCATGTGATTGCTGTTGCTGACCTTCTCTACTGACTTCAAGCAAGCAAAGTCAATGGGGAAGCCAGCAGGGAAGATGACAAGTCATTCGGGTAAGTCTCCCTCTATCTGGTTGCATGCACCACGCCTTCATTCCCCCTTGGCTTGCTCGCACATACCCCAGTGCCCCCCTTCCTCAGTCATCTTGTGTTTGCACACATGCATTCACCTGTTCTGACCTAGGCTTCCCAAGAGCATGAAGCAGACTCCTTGTCCTGACAAAAACACCTTTTTATTAAGTTACTGTGAATTCTTCTCACTCACATCCAGCAAAGTCTTTCAAGGGAGAATTTACAGTAACAGACCTTATCTGGCTTGGAGAGCTGTTAGGCCGATATCTTCAAAGCTTGGCAAGGAGTCACGAACCAATTTTTTTTTTTTTTGCTTTAATTTATATGCCGCCCTTCTCCGGAGACTCAGGGTGGCTTACAATGCGTTAAGCAATAGCCTTCATACTTCTGTATATTTATACAAAGTCAGCTTATTGCCCCCACAATCTGGGTCCTCATTTTACCTATCTTTGAAAGGATGGAAGGCTGAGTCAACCTTGAGCCTGGTGAGATTTGAACTTGCAGTAATTGCAAGCAGCAGATGTTAATAACAGTGCTTTAGTCCACTGTACTACAGGCTAAGTGAACTAATTGTCTCCTGCAAACTCCACTTCCCTTTCGCTCCTCTTTTATTTCCTCTGGGAGGGGCCATTCATCGTCCACCTGTGGCCTTACTCCCAAGTTGACCCTTGTTCTTTAGCTGTTCCCTTCGTCTGGCAACTCTGTGCATGCGCACACTGGGGACAGGCTCCAGCTTCTTCATCTGCCTCACTGATGTCTGACTCTGAAGGCAGCTGATAACTGGCATACGGCCCTGGCCCCCTCTCTGCCTCTGACGCAGAGCCCTCATCAGAACCTTCCCCAGATTCCAGGACTGGCCCATGTTCTTTCCCAACCTCCTCACTGTCCGAATCTGCTGTCAGCTATGCTGGCCGCTGGTGGGTCACAACATCACCCACCAGCACCTTCCTTTCCCGGTCCTCTCTATGCTCACACAACATGCATGCCCCCCACCAATTCCTTTCTTCCCTAGCCTCCTTGCAGTCATACATAGGCACCCCGCATTAGCATTCCCTGCATTCCTAAGTTCCCTCCACATCACAGTGTCCCCCTCAACTTACACACAGTCTATGCTGGGGTCCCCAGGGCTTCCCGCATCCCCTTGCGACTCCCTTCATTTCCCACTTAACAATCTGTATCTTGGGGTTACAACAAATGGGACTGTCTGGATTACTGTCACTAAGTGATGCAGTCATGTGGCATCCCTTTTTATGACCACAGTAATGACAATCTTGCTCCCAGTTGCTCTCGTAACTCAAGGGCTACCTGTATCGTGCAGGAAACACTTTGATCTTTTATACTAAAGTTCATTACGGTATTGACTGACACATAGCAGTGTTTGGAAATATCTACGGCAATCCTTTCCAAAATAACTTTAAATGATTTCCTTTATGAGACAGTTTTCTGTCAACAAACTCTGAGAATTCTTCAGTAACTGATTATGTTACCTTGAAATTAGGTGCCCAAACTTTTCCGTCCCTTTGAAAAGCCTCCAAATTGGCTGCCATTACCACTACTGTGAGCAGCTAATTTCTTGACATGGTTATATATCATGTGAAACAGTGTTTCTTTCTGCAAGTCCTGAACCTCCTTGCATCTAATTTCAGGGGATTACCTCAACTTCTAACCGTGTGAAAGAGGGGGAGAAGCTCTTGTCTACACCACCATAATTTCATATATTCTATCAAACATCCTCTTCTTCTTCTTCCTTTCTGTCTTCTCTCTGATGATTCAAGCAAATTATATCAATTTCAATCATATTTTTCTCAAAAGGGAACTGTTGTAGGTCTAAATCACATAGATTGCTTTTTTTCCCAGCCTTTCTAACTCTAGAAAATCTTAAGAAACAGTTACCAGAAATTTCCTAGTAGTAGTAGTGGTGGGATGGTGGTGGTAGTAATAGTAGTACCGTATGTATGCAATGAAATTTCATTTTAATGTATGCTGATTAGTGTACATTCAAAATGACAAAGTTATTCTAAGTCTAGTAGTAGTAGTAATAGTAGTGATAGTAGTTGTAGTATGGTAGTAGTAGTAATAGTAGTAGTAGTAGTAGTAGTAGTAATCTTACATGTAAAATATTCCAGGTGTTGCTTATCATAGCTTTATATAAAAGCCCTTATTTCTTGCTTTCTTACTACTGCAGTCATCTTATTGTTTTCTTTCTAATAATACCAACCATGAAATTTGCCATTGATAGAATAGCTGGATAATTTTTATCAAAGTGTCCATTGTGACTCCAAGGTCCATTTTCTGATCAGTTATTGACAATTCAGATTCCATTAATCTCTGTATTTAGATATTTTATGCCAACATGTATAAGTTTGCAAGCAGTTACATGTGATGTGTGAATGAATAGCTATATTTTGTAAGACAGGATTCATGCCTTTCTTTGTATCCCATGAAAACTCAACCAATTGTGACTTATTCAACCAATGATGCTATTATGTGGAGTATGAATCCAATCACAGAGTCATTTTTATAAATATATAAAACAGATCTAATTTAAACACTTAATAGTTGAAGTATACTTCCATAGTATAGCATTGCTCATAAATGGTCATCCAATTTCTCCTGAAAACCTTGAATGGAAGAAGATCACCAAGAACACTAAGGCATTTTTTCTATTTTTAAGCAGCAATTAAAACTTCAAACTGTACAAAAATCTTTGATCACTGCAAGCCAAATGCCTCCTGAAATTAAAAAAAGATACCAACAGTGGCATAGGCTGGATCTGACCTGGGGAAATATTTCATTTTACATCTCAACTAAAATAGCACAGATGATGAAAAAAAAGGGTTGAAGAAAGCGCCTTTCACCAGTCATTGTTACTAATAGCTTGTGACTAAATATTTGTAATGACAAGTGTAATGAAATGTTTTAGTATTTTTTAATCCATCCATACTACCTGAATGGATCAGAAACTAAAACACTTCAATCAAACATTTATTTTTTAAAAAATAAATGGAACAATTAATAAATGATGATTCTATGCCATCAAGTCATTGTTGACTCTTGGTGACCACACATACAGTATATTTTCTCTCTGACTACCTGTCCCTAACTTGATCTTTCAGGTCTCCCAATGGTGCACTTTTCACCACTACAACTGAGTTTACCTTGGCTGTTAGTAATAGCAATAGCACTTAGACTTATATTCTGCTTCACAGTACTTTACAGCCCTCTCTAAGGACTTTACAGAATCAGTATATTGCCCCCAACAAGCTGGGTCCTCATTTTACCCACCTCGGAAGGATGGAAGGATGAATCAACCTTGACCCAGTGAGACTTGAACTGCCAAACTGCAGGCAACCAGCAGTCAGCAGAAGTAGCCTGCAGTACTGCACTCTAACCACTGTGCCACCAATAACTGTTACCGTAATTGTTCTCTTCTATTTCCTTCTACCATTCCCAGCATTAGAAACTTCTCCAGAGAACTAGGTCATCAAATAATGTGTCTGAAGTAGGAAAATTTTTGAGCCTAGTCATTTGATGCTCAAGAGACAACTCTGGATTGATTTGCCCAATGGTCCATGGCTTTGTTTTCTTGACTGTTTATGATTTTCTCAGGAGTCTTTTCCAACACAAAAGTTCAAAAGAACCATTAACTCTTCCTGCTTCTTCAAATTCCAACTTTTGCTTCCATAGAATGTCATCAGAAAAAAAATATAAAACCCACTATCACAGTGTTGGCACTAAAAGTTAAGCTGATTACAGAAGGGCATGAAACAGATGCTAGGAATAACAGGGATGTCTTATGTCGGGAGAAAAAGGCATGCAGAGCCTATAATTGAGAAGGTCCACTGTCTTGTAGGTGGCCATCACCTTTCAACTGTTTGTAGGATTTAAAATTGCTAAACTCCCTGTCCTCATTCCCATTTTCCAAAAGAGGCATTAAAGATGGCAGATTAACAGAGTGGGAAGGGACCTTATAGGTCTTCTAGTACAACCCCCCACCCAAGCAGGAGACCCTACACCATTTCTGACAAATGGCAGTCCAGTCTCTTCTTGAAAGCTTCCAGGGATGAAGCTCCCACAACTTCAGAAAGCAAGCTGTTTCATTGGTTGATTTTTCTCACTGTCAGAAAATTTCTCCTTATTTCTAGGTTGAATCTCTCCTTGATCAATTTCCAACTATTATTCCTTGTCTGGCCTTCAGGTGCTTTGGAATATAGCTTGACACCCTCCTTTCTGTGGCAGCCCCTCAAATATTGGAACACTGCTATCATGTCTCCCCTGGTCCTTCTCTTCACTAGACTAGCCATGCCAAGTACTTGCAACTGTTCATTGTAAGTTTTAGCCTCCAGTCCCCTAATCATCTTGGTTGCTCTTCTCTGTACTGTTTCTAGAGTCTCAACATCTTTTGTATAGTGTGGTGACCAAAACTGGATGCGGTATTCTAGGTGTGGTCTTACTAAGGCTTTATAGAGTGGTATTAGTTCCTCACTTGATATTGATTGTATCCCTCTGTTAATGTAATTTAGGATTGCATTGGCTTTTTTGGCTGCCGCCGCACACTGTTGACTCATATTTAATTGGTTGTCCACTAAGACTCCAAGATCCTCTCACAGTTACTGCTATTAAGCCTGGTTTCACCCAGTCTATATGGGTGAATGGGTATATTTTCTTGCCTAAATGTAAGACTTTACTTTTCTCTACATTGAATTTCATTTTGTTAGATACAACATAGAAAGATGTCAACATACAAAGCACACACAAAAAAAAAACAACCCGAACACTTTATTGTTGTGCAAATGCAGCATATTATTAAGTAGGTAGTTAAATATATTTTCATGCAAGTGCATGTCTTACGAGAAGGCCTTTTTTTCTAAATGTGCTATTATCTATCTAACTTACTAGCTATTTTTTTCTCCTAAGATTTCTTATAATCAAAGCAATTCTTCAGATTATGTTACCTTCTTTGTTTCCTCTGAATGTATTGGTACCACCAAAAAATACATGTGGATTAAAAATGTCATTTAAAAAAAAGATCTCCAGCATCTAGTGCCTCCCCAGAATTTTTCCAAGTACTTCAAGAAGACAGTGAGGTTACTTGTGCTGATTAATATTAACTTTGAATAATGGTCAGGTTGGAAAAGAATGGATTGAATCTGGGAATATTTTGAATCCAGATTCTCTGTGACATAGGCATGAATATTGAGGGTAGGAGTTTTACTTTCATATTAACCTTCTATTTTACTATGTTGGGACATATTTTGGATTTTGCATTCCCTGCATAGAACTCCAGGACCCATACAAGAAGGGCAGCTAAAAAAAAGAAACTTAATTCAGAAACGAATCAACCTGTCCATACATATCATTCTCCAAATATCTGCATTATCCAAGATAAAAAATGTTTGGTGCCTCCTCATTGGTATTCTCTCTTGGTGACATGCTCTGTTCTCACCACATGCAGTTGTATCTTTCTGACATCATAAAAATCTTTTTCACCATGTTTTTAAATAGATTTATATTTTAAACCCACATCCAATATTGCCTGTATTGTACATTTTGTTACTAGCTCAATCATTCTTGTTTTGTAATACTTTGGTTCCCAAATCTAAAAATGACACAAAATATTGTGTTAAGTAATAAATGGGAGAGTGCATCCGTATTTATATTTTTGTGTGTGTGTTTTCCCATAAGAATTATGTTCTCTGCACATGCACAGGGTTCTCTGTACACACAGAGACACACTAAAAAAATTCTTGGGGGAAAAAGTTCTAATTTTTGAAATAGTGATGGGTTTTAAGTTTCTGCAAATTTCATGATACGGGAAGATAGTTTTTCTTAAAAAAAAAAAAAAAGACACAAATCAGGCACTTACCATTAAGGAATCCTAGCATAGAGAACACAGGAGTGTGTGCTGAGCTAATCAGCACCTGATCAGAAGGTTGATTGGATTTCTTGTTTAAACTCAAGAACTGGTTTCTCTGAGCTTAAAGATTTGCCTCCAGCCCCTTTCGGCTGGTTAGTGAAGAGTGGAATGGGTGCATCCAAAAAGCCATCACTGGGCTATGAACAGGCCATGAAATAAACCTTAGCTTAAGAGGACATGCAGAGTAGAAATGAGATAGTGAGGCTGAGTTTGTCCCTAATATGTTCTTATCTCCCAGGCATGGGTCAAAGTCTTCGTCTTATTAATTATGATATACTGACTGATTGCAAAATTCTACTTTGAGGGCTTCTACTCTCTCCTCAATAATTCAATTGAGTATTTCACTTGACTTCTTCTGTGACAGATGCAGAATGATGGGGCCTGCTTTCTCTTGCTGATCTCCTGGCTTGCTAGAAGTCAATGGCAATTTTTCAGAGTTGAAAGCATCAGGAGAGAGTCATTCCTTTCTTTACATATCCCCATCTATTTTTCCTCTGTATCCCCCATCCCCACCCCAACCGCCCCAAACAATACTGCTAGTGATACTTTGAGCTAGATTCATTTCAAGCAGAGCCGGGAGACGGGTTGAAAAAACAAGCCTCATTCTGTAGAACAGGGATGTCAAACTCGATTTCATTGATGGCCGCATCAGGGTTGCGTTTGACCTCGAGGGCCCGGGTTGGGTGTGGCCAGCTTGACATCACTCATGTCAGGGGCACCTGTGGTGGCCTGAGTGCTCTGCCAGTGAAAATGTGCTCCCAATCTCCGTTTTCGGCTGGGACAGCTTCCTTCAACCCTCTGCCAATAAAAATGGCGCTCGGGAGGGTGGCCCTCCCAAGCTTTGTTTTCGCTGCAGAGGGTTGCAGGAGGCCATCACAGCCAAAAATTGAGATTGGGAGCCTGTTTTTGCTGAGAGAGGCACCGCGGACTGGTCCTTTACTACTTTCCAAGATGCTGTTTCAAGGGCAGCCCTGCTGTAAGGTGGGAATGTATCTCTTCTCCTGGGTGGACATACGATAAGACTAATAAATGCCATTCCTGCATATTGGAGCAGAGGTAGTTAGGGGGACAAATAAGTGCTTTCCATTTTAGAAGATAAGCAAATTCTACTTGTTTTCCCAGATCATGTGTGTGTGTGTGTGTGTTTCTTTCTGCTTTTAAGTGTTTAACCATCTCTATTGCCCAGTGTTTGCAAAAAAAAAAAAAACCAGTTTCTTTCTTAATTGGGGTCATTTTAAGCCACCAAAAGCTTCAGCTAACACATTGGCTTCAGTAACAAATCTCCCAGGAACCTATGCTTGTGCTTACAGCCTGTTCATGACAATACAGGCTACCTTGGAGAAGCTGAAGGGGAAGGATGCTCCTCCTCCTCCTCCCCCAATTAAGCACAAAAGTCAAGGTGGAAGGAAACTCAACCGTAGGGGTGAGTGGGAGGAGAGACCCGGCTTCTCAAGGGAAGGATTGCTTAAGATCTTTAGCAACCCAGAGATGACTGACATAGCTTCAGTTGTTCTAGAGGAGGTCAGTCCCACTTCTTTTAAATCATAGAATTAGCCCCATGGCCTCAACACTTGCCTTTTTTTTCTCTCTGACACATTGCAAGGCTACAAGGTGGGGAAAGGACAAGTATATCCAAGAGCTGCATTCTGCTACGGCAAATGTGTGTACATGCACGTGTGTGCGTGCACCTGTGCATGTTGCTAAGTGTTAAGGGAGCTGTCACTTCTCCTTCTGCTGGTGATAGTCACTTCCCACACTGAGCACAGGAATAAGCAGTCCAAGCAGCCATCTCTTCCCAAAGACCTCCTCCAGATTCTTCTTCCAGGGCTGGCCTTTGGCTGCCATCCCCTTCCGCATCTGGTACCGTGTTTGCCCTCGCAGGATTAGCAGCATTTGGTGGCAACAGAAGCCGGCACAGGCAAGTCCAATCCCCAGCCAGAGGTATAGCATGAGGATGACAAACATTTCTGAGCTTAGAAGAGCTCCTGCAAATGCCAATGAGAGAAAAGAAAGAAAGAAAGAGATCGGTTATTTTATAAATTCTTTGGCACTGCAGACATTCAGCCAGGAATTGTCAAGTTGATGACGCTTACCTTATATGTGTTCGTATTGTATATCAAAATTTTCTAATCTACTCCTCACAAAATGTGTTGGATCACAACTTCCAGCCAGCATTGCTATTAGTCATTCTGAGCGAAGATGGATGGCGATTTTAATATCCAACACCTTAGTCTTGGGTTTGTTTATTACTGGTCAGAAACCAAATAAAAGCACGTGAATGAGAATCAGATAAAAACAGGAATGGAACTGACTTAGACCATAGAAGATAGAATGATAGTTGGAAGGGACCTTGGAGATCTTCTAGTCCACCCACCTGCTCAAACAAGAGACCCTATACCATTTCAGACAAATGGTTGTCCAGCCTCTTCTTAAAAGCCTCCAGTAATGGACCACCCACAACTTCTGAATGCAAGCTATTCCATTGGTTAATTGCTCTCACTGTTAGGAAATTTCTTAGCTCTAGGTTGCTTCTCTCCTTGGTTAGTTTCCAACCATTGTTTCTTGTCTCACCTTTTGGTGCTTTGGAAAATAGTTTGACACCCACCCACTCCCCCTCATCTTTGTAGGAGCCCCCAGTCCTAAACCAATAAATGGAAGAATGTAAAGGCAAATCCATTTGGTTACCAATTTTACTAAAACAGTGAACATCCCAAAATATTGGATGACTATATGGACAGAGTAGTCATATTGATATTGTCTGAAGTTCTGGATGCATTTAACTGAAAGGAATGAAAGATAATACCAAATAAACCTTAACCTGAAAATAAGTGTTCTCTGGAAGTTCAGTAAAGAGTAATTGAGAAAGATCCACCCATTACAGTTGCTACAGGTGTGCTACTTTCCTGTCGAGGCTGACATTCCCTGAGGTAACCTTAAGGGCCACCAGCCAGTGTCAGAAGCCTAAGTGAATGATGCCATCCATTCACTCGCTTTTTCTATATATACACCTACAACAGAAGGGACAGATCACTCTCCTCAGCGTTTAAATCGCTTGCTGGCAGATTTGAAATTAGGTGAAGAACTATAGCCGGTTCCCCCGTAGATTAAAGGAAAGCAACCAGATCCCCCAGAAAATGCTGGTTTGCAGGGTCAGACCCAGAGTTCACCACTATCATACAGTGTCGTACATATAATTAACCAACACTATCGAAGTACAGATAGTCCTTGACTTACAACAGTTCATTTAGTGACCATTCAAGGTTACAACAGCACTGAAAAAAGTGACGTAGGGCCGTTTTTCACAGTTACAACTTTTGCAGCACCTCTATGGTCATGTGATCAAAATTCAGGTGCTTGTCAACTGGCTCATATTTATCACCGTGGCAGTGTCCCGGGATCAAGTGATCACCTTCTACGACTTTATGACAAGCAAAGTCAATGGGGAAGCCAGATTCACTTAATAAGCGTGTTACTTAACTTAACAACTGCAGTGATTCACTTAGCAAATGTGACAAGAAAAGTTGTAAAATGGGGAAAAAATCACTTATTTATTAGTTCAATTTATATGCCGCCTTTCTCCGAAGACTCAGGGCAGCTCACTTAACAACCTTAACAAACATCTCACATAACAACCGAAATTTTGGGCTAAACTGTGGTCATAAAATGAGGACTACCTGTATATGCCCCAGAGTACTCTGTTCCAGTGGTGAAATTCAAATTTTTTTACTACCGGTTCTATGGGCGTGGCTTGGTGGGTGTGGTGTGGCTTGGTGGGCGTGGCTTGGTGGGCATGGCAAGGGAAGGATACTGCAAAATCTCCATTCCCACCCCACTCCAGGGGGAAGGATATTGTAAAATCTCCATTCCCACCCCACTCTGGGGCCAGCCAGAGGTGGTATTTGCCAGTTCTCCAAACTACTCAAAATTTCTGCTGCTGGTTCTCCAGAACCTGTCAGAACCTGCTGGATTTCACCCCTGCTCTGTTCCTCTTCGTGCTGTGTTATCTCTCTTCTTCATATCCTCAATGTTAAGTGCTGAGAGGAAAGATCAGCACTTATTTTGCCCTCTCCTTCTGAGTCTATTAGAAACAGGCAAGCTGTTGGACAATCATAGCAAGGCAGGATATGCAGGGATATTCAGAGGCACTCAGTCACTGCTGGTTTGCACAGTGTAGCTTGACAGTAGCAGACTCAGAAACAGATGTAAGCTACTGATAGCTAGTTATCCCAAAGTGAACAGAGTTTAAAATGTATTATATTCATCATCTTCTTCCCAGATAGCTAGGAGGGGAGAAAAGTGTAAAATTAAAGCTGTAATGAGAACGATTTTAGGCATCAAGCTAGACACTGGGAGATGATGAGTTGTAGTCCCATTTTAGGCACAGAACCAGCTGGATGACTTTGGGTTAGTTAGCCCTATGAAGGAGGCAATGGCAAACCATTTCTGAAAAACCTTGTCACGAAAACTTTCGGGTAAAATCTCTGACAACTGGGTACAATTGAATAGAAGAAAAACAAGGTTGTAATGATGTAAGCACCCTGCAAGGAAATAGCCCTACAGAACATAACTCATAAATACATATTTTAACTTCAATGGAGCTAACTTAAAAATATATTTGCATAAGATTGTACTATAAATATTTTATTTTCCGGAATTCTCTTGATTACAATTTAATTAGAGTAATTTTCAACATAACCAGTCAATTCAGGTAAATATAATTCATTTTCAATCACAATTAGTGTAAAAAAAAAAAAAAAGGAGAGGACTCTTGAATCTTTCATAGTTCTATCTGCTGAATTTCTCTTTCTGTACAATTATTAAAGGTGTAGAAATCTAATAGAAGATAATATATTTTCCTCTAAAATCCTTGATACTCTCTGAGCTTGGTTATTTGCTTACATACTGGACTAATACTGCAATATCATCAGTGCAAGTGATTGTTGTGTTTGCTCTCTGTTTGTATACAATAGCTTGCCCTGCCAGTGTTGGTGGGAGTATGGTTTTCTCCTTGGTAGTTCTTCCTTGATTAGGATATTGTTTTCTGCTTGATTGTTTGTCTGGTGTTAATCCCTGCTAATCTTGGTGTTGCCTGGCCTTTTTGTTTCCTTCTTTGCTTTTTTTTATTGTCTCTTTTGAATGGTGTGTACATAATCCCTACTCATCTGGGTGTTGGTTGTTGGATAGGATGTGTTTTGGTCTCTTTATTTCCTACTTAGCTTTTTTTATTGTCTCTTTTGAATGCTGTGTACATGTGGTTAAACCCAGATAAACAGGGATTAGCACCTAACAAACAATCAAGCAGAAAACAATATTCGAATTAAGGAAATACCAAGGAGAAAACCACACTCACACTCACCAGCACCAGTGATGGGTTTCAAAAATTTTTACTACTGGTTCTGTGGTTGTAGCTTGGTAGGCGTGGCATGGCTTGGTGGGCGTGGCTTGGTGGGCATGGCAGGGAAAGGATACTGCAAAATCCCCATTTCCTCCTGATCAGCTGGGACTCGGGAGGCAGAGAATAGATGGGGGCGGGGCCATTCAGAATTTTTATTACCAGTTCTCCGAACTACTCAAAATTTCCACTACCAGTTCTCCAGAATTGGTCAGCACCTGCTGAAACCCACCTCTGGCCAGCACTGATAATATTACCTAATCAGATAATGAAATGTTGGCAAATAAACAGCCATGCTCCGAGAACACCTAAGACTTCATACTTAGAAATTTTTTTCTTCGCACTTGGCTACCCTAGGGTACTATGTACAGTATCATATTTTACTGTGGACAGTGCTGTATTTAACTTTGTCTTCTTTTAAAACAACTGGCTGATCTAAATGGGCATTTAAAAAAAAGAATCACAAGAAAGAGAATCAGTAATCCTGAATTATTATTATTATTATTATTTTGAGGTTAGCCGATAGCAGATTCAGCAAAGGGCGATTCTTTGATCACAGTTTAATATTGATACCGATTTAGTTTGTCTTATAGTAATGATTTCTACATTTCGTTATATAATCAAATTCACAACATGAAAACATTCTGCGGTCTTAATGTCCTGACTTTTTAAAGTGATAGGTGTCTTGCTTTTTTCGCATTCCTTTCTTTCCTCCTTCTCTAAAGGATCATTTGACTGGGTAAATAAAGGGGAGAATACCAGATTTACAGATTTTCTACACAAACCCTGTAATCGCTAGAAAGAATTAAATAGAAACGTGTGGCATATGACTTGTTGCAAGCAGCATTATCCCCTTTGAAGCAATCAGGAGATTTTCAATGTTTCTGCGTTTAATTCCTCATTTTGGGACTCAGCTAGGTTGCCATATATGCTAAGCTTTGACAGTTTGAGGTTGAGATATTAATTCTGCTATAGAGACATGTGAGCTAGACTAGAGAGCACAAACAGTTGGGTCTGGAGACATTTTGCACATTAACACTGAATTATATGTATGCAACAATAAAGATAGAACCGAAATAGACCTTTTCTGCTTGCTTTTGTCATGAAAACCTGTGCTTCAGCATCCTTTCTATGATCTTGCAATAGCTACATTTCTAATCACTATTTCCACTATTACTGTTGTGGCCCACTGAGCTGGCAGCAGAGCTGGCAGCAGAGTCAGACAGTGAGGAGGTTGGGGAGGAACTTGGGTCAGTCCTGGGGGCTGGGGAAAGCTTGGACAAGGGCTCTGAGTGGGAGGCAGAGAGGGAGTTAGTCAGCAGTGAGGCAGAGGAACAGCTGGAGCCCATTCCCAGTGTGCGCATGTGCAGAGCTGCCAGAAGACAAGAACAATTAAGAAAGCAGGGTAGACTCGGGAGTAAGGCCACACCTTGGAGATGATTGGCCCCTCCCATAGGACATAAAAGAGGAGTGAACGGGATGTGGGCTTTTGCAGGAAGCAATTAGTTCATCTCGTTTCAAGATTGGAAAGTTCTGTTCGTGACTCTAATAGACTCGGTGCCAAGTTTGGCCTTGCTCTGCATTTGGAAATTG